TTTGACCGTAAGAGGTTTGTGGATACTTGAATGCTTATTTAATAAAGGCCACCTCCGGCACCTGGACGAAGCCATATGCTTTCGGCTTCAAAATTTGCGCATGTGTCCACCTTTCAGGCTTATGAGTTATGTGTTGCGCTAGTTTAACTTTTTCTCGAGAACATAAACATAAAATTTGAAAATCAACTTTGCTTACCTTGAGTAGTCATTTCCTACAGTGTGTAGTTTCTGAATGCAGCCGGAACGAAGTTCATTCGAAAACCAGCATCCTGACGTAAATGATATATTATAGAATTATGTTGCAGGTGGGTTAGTTTAACAACCATACTTTATTAATCTTTTCGAAACCAAAACGCCTTTCGGAATTTCCGTTGACATTTCATGAGTTAGCCCACCTACTGTATGTATAAAGTCCCGAGGATATTTCACGTACAAAATGCAAAATTACGTCTCGGCCGGGGTCAATTAATCAAAAAGAGTTATTTTAGTGGTATTTTTAGCTGCGTGGCTTCAGGGACCCGAAAACTAAGCTCAGTAATATAAAATATCCAAAAATATACGATATAAGTAATATAATATACCTGAATTATATAGTATTTACCTTTAAAAATTAACATTAAAATGATGAGTTTCCATAATAAAAACGAGCTACAGTATCGGTAGGTATGTTCGTTTTTTGCCGCATAACGTATCGTCTAACGTCAACACAGTTGATTATTTTTAGTAGTGGGAGGTGTTGAAAATGTTTGTTCGAATGAAAATCACTAATTGTTTTATATGTATCTCGCTGAGGTATATGACAATGTACATTTAACCAACGCAAAGTCTTTAAGAGCTATAGTAAACGATTTTGTCCTTGTATTTATAAGATCAGCGGCATCCGCATTCTCAGTAGGCGCGCTTTACAAAAAGGGTAGTTTATCTTTTACCTTTCAGCCGCAGGTAAACCACGGTCGGATAATCGCCAGATGTGCTCGTCTATGCGTTTTATGCTGTATTTCTTGAATGAAAGGCGGATTTTTTTATCGGCGTACGCATTCACTTACATTCCATGGAATGGTTTCATGGCAAATTCACCATACAAATCAGTAGATTGTGCTCAAGCAGTTTTCAAGTAAACAGGTACCTCTTTGAAACTGTTTGCTCATGCCTCTCGTTCATCGCCTGTTGGCGTTATAAACGCTTTTTCGTGGAAAAATAATGACTAAACAACATCGCCGTCCAAACATATTTTCCACAAAAAGCTCTTGGAAATAGGTTGTATTTGCGACCATGTAGCATTAAATTTTATCGTGAAAACGATTATAATGCTGTCCTTATCAGTCATAATACACATCGGAGCAACATTTGTAACCTAACGTTAGCCATATTGTATATCGCATAATAACGTTGGATTTCTAAAAGTTAACCATGCCCTAGTTTACGCAGATTAAGAAATCTTCACCGTATCATGTTACACCATGTGTTGGTAGAATCTAAATTGCAAAACAGCGTAGTTCTACTCACATGCCTATGAATATCTTTTGACATGAAAAATGAATCCTGACTTCAACAAAATGTCTTTTTTCTGAAATTGTTGACAGTGTGGCCTTCGGTCAACGCCAGCACTCGAGGAGTAGATGCATGCGGATAGACGTTTTAGTGCTACCTTTGCCCGCGTCGTTTTAGGGACTCGAAAACTAAGCTCTTTATTTATCCTAAACTTCAGAAACTTCCCTACACATCCCTAAAATAGCCATCTTATTAATTAAAATCAAATGCTGACCCGCTACTATACTTTCGTGCCGATCACCGCACTTTGTCAGCACTGATTTAATTTGAATATTAAATACCAACAAAAAAGACAATCTATCCCACCAAGGCGCCGAGATTTTACAGTTAGGTTAAAGAGAATTATTCAAAATTTGCTAACATGTATATGCATTACGTGAGCCTGGTTGTCATCTGGTGGATTCTAGGTGAAATACTTAGGAAATCTGTTTGGGCATTTAAATAACTCTATCAGAGTTTTTGGATTACAGACGTTGCAGCAGGTTGGGCGGGTACTCTTGACCCAAATGTGATTTAAATGGCGTCGTCCGGCGGGGCCTCGTAGCTCAGGTGGTTACAGCGTTGGTTGTTCTAAAGCCTTCACCTTACTGCTGTGTGTTCGAATCCCATCGAGTCGCCGAGTTTTTCATATTTTGATAAATATGAATTATTCAAAATCTTTCAAAACACATATGAACTATCTTTAAAGCCAAAATGATATTTTATTTGCAAAGAAGACATATGAAGCGCATAAGGCATAGTTATCTGGGTAAATGCGGCAGGCATATGACTATTCAGTACCCCTACGAATGCATCTAACTTGAATCATGTTATCACCCGTGTATTGATATTCGCTGTCTCTTATCAAGTTCACATTTAACCTCCCTGCCCTCAGATGGACACCTTCCTGATATCCCCCGTGGTGTAGCGTGTTCAGCGGTGGGTTCAAGTGACGGTCGTAGTAGGCCGCTCACTTGCTTACAGATTCTGACTACGGCTAGCGTAAATTCGCTGGTACCCAACTGTTGTATTTACCCTCCCCCCCGAAGCAAGGATCTGTCTAACAGTCATACCCCGCTAACCTCCCCGACCGGCGGGCTAAACCACCTGGGTGCACGGTTATGTGGACTTCGCTGACCGGATATATCTTCACATCGGCATCGTCGAGACGAGGATCCGTCAGGTACACAGCAGGAGGCCACAAACTTACGGCGATGTCGTAGGCTCTTCCTGGCTTACTCGGGTCGTTCATCCACTACGTGGCCCATAATAACGTTCATCAGCGACTAACAAAATTCGGTAGCCGCATTCAGGACGGCACTGCCCCCCGCCCCCCCCCCCCTTCGCGAGAGGGAAGGGGCTAGACAAGGTGCCCTAAACAATTGCCGAGGAAGCACGCCATCTGCAGGCTGACCGTGGTGGCAGAATTTAAATTCACCTTCAAAACAGCCAATGAAGAAACTACAATAACAAACACTCTCTCTATTCCTCTCCCACCTGATCCCCCCTTACTTCTCCTGCGTCACCTCCTCCTACTTCTTCTTCTCCCTGCCCCACTCGCCAGACTGGTTGGGTGAGTCCTCTCGCTCTGGCAGCCTGGAATGTTTGTTCCGTTTTAAAAAACACGAGGAGGAACCGGGCGGAACATGGAACGGTACTAGTCGATCGAAAACTGGCACGTTAGTAGGTGGACACCGCAACACTGCGAGACGCCGTTCTCCAAAAAATGCCAAATAGAGGAGGTGGATGCCAGCTACACCTTCTCCTGAAGCGGTCACCCCAAGGCAAAGTTGCGGTCCGCGTACCCTTGGATCTCCTCAGCTTTGCGAGCAGTCCAGGCGTCCTGCATCTCGCGCAGTCTTTGCTGAAGCTGGCGGCGACTGCGGTAGAAGGCAGCTTTGGTGGCATCAGTGGGGTGATCTACGTAGGCTTTGTGTAGGCGGTTCTTCTCAGCTAGCAGATTTCTGATGGCGGCGTCGTTGTCGTCGAACCAGTCCTGGTGTTGGCGGGGAGCGCGACCGAGGACGGCGAGCGCCGTCGACTGGACCGTGTCTCGCAGTTGACACCAGCGGTTCTCCACGGAGGCGTTCTCGGCAGCGGCGGCGTCGTCGGCGGCAGCGATAGGAAGGTTGTCTAGCCGCTGAGCTAGCTCATTGCTGAAATGGAGACGGTGAGCAGGCAAAGACAACAAGGCAACATTCAGCTTACCTGGGGGTCGCTTACCTTGTGGTCTCCTGCGAGGCTGTAGGCGAATACGCATCTTCGAGATGACGAGGCGATGGTCGGTCCACCCGTCAGCAACCGCGATCGCCTTCGTCGCCAGCACGTACGCTGATCTCGCCTCCGGACGAGGACATAGTCCAGCAGGTGCCACTGGCGCGACCGAGGATGCCTCCAGGTGGCCTTCTCTCGCTCCGGCAGACAGAAGAACGTGTTCGTCAGCATGAGGCGGTGTTCTGCGCAGGTGCGGAGAAGCAGCAGACCATTGTCGTTTGAGCCGCGGAGACCGTGGGGACCCAGCACTCCTCTCCAGGCAGTATGGTCTGTGCCGACGCGGGCGTTGAAGTCGCCAAGGATAATCAACTTGTCCACCTTCGACACAGTCGCCAAGAGGGCGTGCAGGTCCTCGTAGAATTTGTCTCTGACGGCGTCGCGGTTGGTCATCGTCGGAGCGTAGGCGCTGATGATGGTGGCGAATTTGCCTCCCCAGAGAGGCAGGCAGAGGCTCATCAGGCGATCGTTGATGCCCTGCGGCAAACAGGGCAGTCGTCCCACGATGTCGTTCCGAATGGCGAAGGCGACGCCCGCGTCTCGTCGCTCTGCCCTGGGTCGACCGCTCCAGAAGAAGGTGTAGCCGGCACCTACCTCCTCCAGTTGGCCTTGTTCGGAGAAACGGGTCTCGCTGAGTGCGGCGATGTCCACCTTGTAGCGCGCCAGTTCTCGTGCCACTAGCGCCGTCCTCCGCTCCGGTCGGTTGCTCCTCGGATTGTCTAAAAGGGAACGAACATTCCAGGCTGCCAGAGTGAGCGCGCTCACCCTGCCAGTCTGGTGACAACGAGTGGGGCGACGGGAAGGAGATGGAGAAGAAGATGACGAAGGAGAAGAATAGGCAGAAGAATAGACGGAGGTAGAGGAAGAAGAGGTAGCATGAGGAGAATGAGTATGGTTGTTGTTGTTGTTATTGGTATTGTTGTTGTTTCGATTTTGATTGTTTCGACCATGTTTAGACGTCTGCGGCCCTGGCTAGCCTGGAGACGGCGTGGTACCCAGCAATGTTTAGGCCACCTTTTCTAGGCCCTTCCCCTCGTGGGGGCTGGCAGTGCCATCCCTGAATAGGGCTGTCATGTGCCGTTGTGGCACGGCCGAAATCCACTATGGGACCACGACTTCGGGTTGTAGTGGAGAGCGACTCGAATTCGCCGTAAGCCGCGGTCTCCGTCGGCGAAGGTGGGCGCGTCAAGGCGGTGTCGATGTGGAGATCCATCCCGTCACCGGTTGTCGAGCGACGTGCAGAGACGAACCACGTCACGACGGTGCCGACGCAATGTTCCATCCGACCTTCCATCCAGCGGAATCCGCAAACCCTGTGCACACGGCACAGCGCACAGGGCCCCCTCACCTGGTTTAGCCCGCCGGTCGAGACGGTTGCCCGGGGTGTGGCCGTTGAGCAGAGCCCAGCTACGTGGAGCCACAGGTGAGAGTTGAGTGCCAGCAAGTGGACGCTAGGCGCAGTCTCACCTGCAAGCAAGTGAGCGACCACCACGACCATTACGTGAACCCACCGCTGACACCCCTACACCCCGATAGGGACAGTAGCGCAACAGACATTGCGGCGTTAGTTTGTGTAGGGTACGCAAAGCGGATAGCAACCGGAGCATAACCATGAAATATTCGCCGAAAACCACCAAGTCACCATCATCACGCAACAAGGACAGGTCGCTGCTTAGTAGTTTATGAAATTTGGGAGGCAAATTCAGACACTCCAAAGAAGCACGTTATATTAATCCTCGACATATTCCGAGGTCTTATGTACTCGATGATCAAAACCAACCATAAGTTCTCAGTATTAAACGCATTCAGCCTCGGGAAGAAAACTGCTAAACTCTCTAATCCAAAGCATCCTAGGCTATTCAAAATGGTTTTGAGGTGCAAAAAACGTTTAATATTATCCTCTTAAGACGTGTTCCTCAAAATATTCCCACCAAGGATATTTGCTGCTAGATTGGGCACCGGGGCAGCGGCTGAAATTTCAGCAGTTAGTCTCGGAGCTCAGAACGGGAGTAACAACAGCCGGATGATAGAGCGGTCGTTTAGGCTCATGCTGTGAGTCTGTTGTCCCAGCTGATGCAGGTGACAAAGTGGCATAGCTGGTTTACAATATGAGACGAGCTAAAACATCTGTATACAAATGCGCAAGGTCTGCTCTCTAAACTAGATGTCCATAAGCTTTACCTATGCTGTTTTATGCCAGATGTCATATCCATAACTACAACGAGGCTGTCGACGAACGTGGCGGAGTCACTCTACCCGGTGTTCCGTTATTCAGAAAGCATAAAGCGTGAGGTCAGGTCTGTGTGTGATCACTTAGGCAGGCATGACCTGCATGTGTTGAAAAAATGGGGAAAGCACGGAAGCACAAATTGGATCACCAGCAGGACGCCGCACTCACAAGCTCTCGATATTATGACGGTTTTCCAACGATAAAAGAATAAGATGTGTTTTCTATTTCATATCCAAAGTCATGATTATGTGCGAATTCAGTCCTCAACAAATCGACCAAAATGTTATTGCTGCCTCAGGATCTAAGCAAAACATAGATCGGAGCCTCCTGAAAGCAGTACAGAAATCATATTTCACTTAACACTTCTTATCTCCGACGGGACTACGGGAAGGGCAACAGACCATATTTTTGGACCTTGTGCCGACAAAAATACATGACACAGCCTATGACATAAAGTGCCTACTTCCTTTCGACAAACGTTACCACGTAGTCCTATTGCGAGACTATTCACTCATATCTGTACCCGTTCGAAATTTCACGGTCAGATACAAAATATGGCGTGAAGGCTCCTACTAAAAAAATCGACAAGTGTCGTGTAGACTTGAATGCTAGATTCACCGGGTGTGTTATCAAAAACTATTTGGGATCAAGGGCTTTTTACGTGGTCTAATCACCAGATACTACACTAAATTTTAAGATAGGATGTCTTGCTACACGGCTAGCTGAAGGGTTCATTAAAGAGTGAAGTAAAACGCAAGCGAAAGCCGTGGAAAACGTATCTCAGGGAGAAGACAATCGAGTTAATAAATGAGTACAAGATGCAGGGAATTAAGCAAGGAATTCTGTTTACAAAGACTACCAAGCCTTCAAAAAGTAACCTGCTAAACGGCGTAACAAAAATCCCAATGCTTCCCTACAGCTAGATAACCTAATATGCAAGAAGTCGGGCACCCATACCTTTGTTAAACACGGATGATGTATTTTTTTAATTTTGCAAGTACAACCAGCAGACTGAGCACATACCTAAGTACTGTTCTTCATTTTTTCGAACGAATTCGCCTTAAAATCTGATAAATATAGCGTGAATGAGGTCCCGAAGAGTGACTTACTGGTTCACGCAAGAGCTATTTTTTCCGCACGTGGCACTGAAGCTGAACGGACTGACGCCGATAGGTCCTGATGGAATACCAGTCAGGCTGTTGGATTAATTAGCCGTGAAATCCGTGGAACCCTTATCTCTCATGTTTCACGCCCCTCTTCCGAAGCAGGCAGATTTGCACTTCGGTGACTGGGTTGGAGTTCATCGATATATAAAAGCGCAGCAGTGCGTACGCAAAAAACTACCGGCCGGTAAGCCACTACTTCAGATGTTGCAACATTATGGAGCGAATTGCAAAATAAATGCAGTTTTTGAGCGAAACATGACTTCTGCAGAGAAGGTCCTGCTTGTCCAATTTATTCTAACGTCTCGAATTGTGGAATTGAGCAAATGATGTAGGAAATTTGGTGTGCATAGCCTACATACAATTCAAAAACACCTTTGATACTGTGGCTCACTAAAGTTTTCATTGTAACCTCAGCATTATAGGGGTGAAGGACAACCTTTAAACATGCATTGAAGACTTTTTAGTTAGTAGGTCACAAATTAACCGTCTTGGCTACGATCAATAGGCGGAGGTGGAGCTTGAGAGCGTAGTTTCTCAGGACTTCGCTCTTTGTCCTCTCATCTTCCCTATACATTATGCGGATTGCACCCGCGTGTTGGAATGTGACATCGCAATATTTGCTGGCAGCATAAAGCTCTGAAAAGTTTCTCGCAACGAATAAGACGAAACAAACTTGCAGGCAAACTTACATCGACTTGAGCAATGGTTAAACCACAAACTCTACCGGTCCAATGTTAGCAAGCGCAGTATTCCGCGAAACAGTTGAACCAGCACCGTCGCGTCCGGTGATGTTCACATTTTGCTCGACAGCAGAGTTAGAGCCAGCACGGTAACTTCCTTGATAATTATTTCATGTTGAGAGTAGAATTGTGCAACATCTACCAGACCATCAGAATCAAACATCGATACCAAAGCTAAGGACTCAGACAACTCTAGGAGTGTGGATTTCGGCTTCACTGAAACTGTGCCGAGGCAACAAACTATCTTACCTTTCCCTACCTGTTCCACATTCTTGAACTTACTGGTTGTTTAACTGAATGGAAGGGACACAACTCGACGCGACGCGCTTGGCATGACTTGGATTGTCAGGTCGTTTGGCTTTTGATTGTTAATTCATTGATAAATCTGGTCTTATCCTGATATTCATAGTCTGGGCTTTACGGATCTGTATTTAGCGCTCGCGATAGTGGTGACATTTTGACGTTTGCGCTTATACCTTTAATTTGTTGACTTTCCATTAGCATACCGTCCGTTTGCCTTCTTTCTTTCTACAATCATGACCTCTACCAATTCCAACGATGCCAATCCTTCACTTAGTGGACTTGTTTCTACTCCCCCAGACTTTTGGCAACATGCGCCCGAGCTTTATTTTTTCCGTATCGAGGCGACTTTTCACTCCGCCAAGATAACGCGTGAAGGCGAAAAGTTTTACAAGTTGGTCGAGGCCTTTCCTCCCACTATTCTTACCCAAGTGCAGACGTTTCTGAGAGATCCCCCGACTGATGCTCCCCAAACCCAGTTTAAGGCTGAACGTCGCCTCACAACAGTCTCCGATCGGTAGCGTTATCAAGCGCTGGTAAAAGAGGAAGCACTAGGTGATTACAAGCCGTCTGAACTCTTGCTTCGTATGCGTTCTCTTGTTGGGAACGAGAAAATTGACGACAAGTTTTTTAAAGAGATGTTCTTAGAACGTCTGCCGACGTCGGTACAAAAAAATTTGGCCTGTGGCACAGACGACCTGGACATATCAAAGCTTGCGGAGATGGCTGACCGTAGGATAGTGGTTTAGCGTTTGTCATCCCCGACGATTGCTCAGGTGTCCCAGCCTCTCATCGTGTCCATCTCTGACTTTGCTGAACTAAAGACACAGATTGCACAGTTGTCAGCGACCTTTGCCGCTGCGCCGATCCCCCGGTTCCTCTCGGCGTTCCTTCGGCCGTGACCGTCGTCGTTCCCGCTCTCGTCCCAGGATCGCAAACCTATGTTGGTATCATGTCAACTATGGCGATAAGGCGCGGCGCTGTGTCACACCCTGCTCCTTCACGTCCACGCAGGGAAACTCCTCGGCCGGAGAGTAAATGCGGCCGAGCTCTCTGGCAACTCCACGTGTCGCACATTTTATGTCAGTGATAACACGATTGGCAGGAACTTTTTAGTCGACACTGGGGCTCAAATTACTGTTATCACTCCCACGCCGGCTGAACGACGTTGCCAAAACCATGATCTTCACCTCTAAGCTGTCATCTGTTCCCCCATTCCCACTTTTGGCACTTTGATCCACACCCTGAACATTGGCCTTCGTCGGTCATTCCCCTGGATCTTTGTGATTGCTGATGTCCCTCATGCAATCCTCGGCTCGGACTTTCTTGCTGAGTTCGATGTCCTAATTGATTGCCGACGTGCCCCTCTCCTCGACCGCACAACCGGTCTGTTTGTTCTTGAACTAACTCCCTTTACTGCCCCCACAAACTTATCTGTCTTGGATACGGATATTGCTAGACCCTTTCGGCAACTGCTTCTTAGTCATCCCAACATGATTAACCCCTAGTTTCGCAGTGGTGAGGTTCAACATGATGCTGTGCACCATAGCCACACCCCAGGTCATCCCGTGTTTGCCCGACTGAGTCGACCAGCTCCGGAGCGTTTCCAGGCCGCGAAGGCGGAGTTTGAAAACATGCTGCAACTGGGAATAATTCGACCGTCCGAGAGCCCTTGGGCGTCTCCACCGCACATGGTACCCAGGGCGATATTGGGCGACTGGTTACCCTGTGGCGACTATCAAGCCCTCACCAACGCTACCATTCCCGATCGGTACCCCGTGCCTCATCTTCACGACTTTGCTGGAGCCCTTTTCAGTAATGCGGTTTTCTCGAAGATTGATCTGGTGCGTGCTTTTCATCAGATTCCCGCCCCCCTGGGGACATCCCTAAAACCGCCGTCACCACAATCTTCGGTCCCTGCCAGTTCATCCGCTTGCCGTTTGGTCTTCGTAATGCGGCCCAAACGTTCCAGAGGTTCATCGAGCATGTCTTTCGTGGCCTACCCTTTGTGTACGCCTACATTGATGACCTCTTGGTGGCCAGTCGGAATGAGGAAGAACACAAAGACCAGTTTGCCTCGCAATGTGCAGTTGGGGAGCTTACCAACCTCCAGCATCGCCTCCGGCAGGAGGACGACAGCTAATAAGCCAGAAATGGCAATTCCAGTCGCACTTGTGTTTGTTGGTAATAACATTCTACCTAATAGGTACACTCCGGTGTAACGCTGTCAGAAAACTCTGACAAAGCGCTCTCTCTCTGCCGTGGCCAACGCCAACCTCAAGTGGTGGCAACCGCATCGTCAGTATGCTTGGCTTCTACTGACAAAGCTCTTCTTGTACCGTTTGGTTGAAGAGTGCCACATGCATTGACACTGTCCTTGAAAAGTCACACCCTCTGTCTCAGATTCGGCAATGAACTTTAGTGAGGGGTGCGCACTGTTGAACTTTTACACAAGGTCGTCGATATCAGTGGTACCATCCGCCTGACAGAAGATATCGTCCACGTACCGACCACAGAAGACGAGGCTATTAACCCCTTTTTTAAATTATTTTCCAGACTGTTACTCCTCATTTGTAGATAATTCTTCAGGCAGTATTCCTTCCGAATTTCCTCCTGCATTGGTATTTTCCTATGCGACGTTATTCCAAACTATAGGGCACTCAAAGACGTTCGCTTACGTTTTCACTAATAAAATTGATCTGAACCAAACATAAGAAGGCCATTATTAAAACTACACAGTCAAATTCAAGACAGACAGACCACGGCGAGGTAGAGCCGAACGGTTTAAGAATTGGTGCGGCAAACTTTCCGAATGTGAACGAAATCAATAACTGCAATACAGAATCGAGAGCTGTCGACAGCATACGTGTAAGACCATGAAATATTCAGAGTGATTAAAAAGAACACTTTTAAGACAAGACACACATGTATGCGTGTGTATACATTTTTGATGCCCAATGTTTTCGTGGTCACGTGGGTTTATATCTCATATGTTTATCACTGAAGAATATTGCATGACCACTTTCACATGTTGTTAAAACAGTTTATTCCGCATATTCGTCACGTGTGATATTACCAATTTTGGTATTCGGCAATTGAATATGCGTTGCATTTTGATTACAAAAGTACTTAGACATTTGAGGTTTATCAAACGACAGACTGCTGTACCGATTTTTTCGCTTTAATAGTTCAAATCTCAGCCGGGAACAGATATTATCGCTGTGCAAATGGATTTTGAAGAAACCATTTACCATTATCTTGGTCTATCGGAATTTACGTTTTCAATGCATTTTTTCTTTGTAATACGGCGTTTGTGTGCATTATTTATTGCACATGTGATTGACATAACCGTCTTTGTTTCTATTTTAGTTAAATTGTGCTGGTCAAATTAAATAAATTCTGGTGCAAGTCAAAAACATATCCGCCTGTGAAAAAAGTTAATATTAATTTGAGAATTTACTTAAGAAAAACGACAAAAATTTGATAAGAATTCTAATAGATTTTTTTCCGTTTTTAACCTTTAGGTGTTAGCATGTAATCGCAATGCATGCGAAGGACCAGGTGATGTAAATGCATGGTTGAGACTTTTCGGAAATTAGTTGGGCATAAATGTTACGGAATGACTTATTATAAATACCAATATGTCTTACTTTTAGCGGTATTCTTGGATGATTTGCCGGTGTGCGTGCAGCCCCGTGATCCATGCACACATGCTGACATCAGCAAAACCCACGAAAGAAGGAGCATAATTCTGTAAGACAGTGCCAACTCTGATTCTGTATTTAAACTCCTACGAAGTGCGATATAAGGTGAGTCGAGGTCACGAGCATGTTGCAGGTGTCTGCATTTCTGCCGTACGTGTGCTGCAGACGTGATGCCTGCTCACGCAGTCCTGGGATGATGGTGGTTGACAAACTGATGGCAGGCGCCTTGTTGAGATTCTTGAGACTTTGCCCCCCTAAAACGAGCCACGCAGTAGATGTGTTGAACCAATACAGAGGGGTTACATTAGTGTCTGGCAGGCAATAATCATAATACGTATCCATAAAAAACGTCTGCAGTGGGTGTACGGCGACACCCCATGGCACAAGCCCACACCGCGCCCTTCGCGATCCGAGCGCTCCATTCACTTATGCTGAAATTTCCGGCCAGTAGAACAATATGCATGAGGTTGTGCGGTGGTACTCGTGAATGCAGGTTATCGCCGTGCCAGTAACCAACGTCCCCTACTGCCTTAGGCTTACTTGTGTTTGTGATAATATCGGGTTCAAACGTTGCAGAAGGAGATATTCGGCCAGATACTGATCTGGTCTTCTATCATTATAGACAGACTCACGCGCATGTTACTCTTCTGGAGCAAGTAGTGGGCATCTCTGGAATCCATAGTATAACTGTCATATTGTTTTGATGTATTGAAATCGCAAGTACATATTATTTTACAAATGAAATGCTATATCCGACCTGCGTGTTCGCCTTGATCTTTAAGCATTTTGAAATGTATGGCAAGCTACTATGTTCTGCGGGCATAGCAACCTTAAATTGTGCATGACGGAAGAAAGTGTCCTGATGTAAGGCATGCTGTGCCAAGCCCAAACTGCTTTGCCTGCATATTCTGAAATTTTAAAGCAACCAATCCAAGCCGACTATTCTCTGCTGGCTACAAGAGACAGGACATTTTTTGTGTAGTTTTCAAGTCGCGAGGGTCATATATAGGATGCGTTATCAACTTTGTGGTGGGATGGGTTATGTTCTGCACTTGACACCATTCTACTACCCATAAGGACGTTTTAGTCCAAATTTTCCAATACTACCAGTGGACGTGTTAGATGATTGTTGAGGAGGAAGTGGTGCTTAAACGCATCCAAGGGAACAGTTTATAACTTACCTGGTGGGGGCTTGCACATTTGTCTCCTGTGAGGTGGCAGTCGGAGCTCATCTTGGGGACAACGAGGCAGTGCTGTGTCCAACCACCGGCGTCGCAAACTGCCTTGGTCACCAGCACATCCAGTCGGTCTCGCATGCGGACGGGTACGTAGTCGAGCAGCTCCCAGCCTCGCCATCGGGGGTGCATACGGGTCGTCTTTTTTCTTGTTTAATGACTAATGAAAGTTGTTGGTTTAGGTGTAGGCAGTGGTGCAAACACTTATTCCGTATAGATCCAATAATATACGAGCATTGATTGTTGAGACTAAATGCCACGAAACGCCTTTTAAATCCGTAATTGGATTTATTTTGGATATCTTCATACATCCGTCTTATAGCAGCATAATAATTGGTCTCTGTCATGCCGTGATAACAGTCGCAGCTGAATAATAATATTTTCGCATCTGAGTGCACATCTAGCTAACAACAATCATAGTTTAGAACGAACAAAGGCGAAACGGACGAATGTGCAGTCTGGCATTGAGGATAAAGCAAACCACGCATTAACATATTTTAATGATAAAAATATTAGCAACTTACCTCTTTGCGGCTTATTCAAATGAGTGTTGATGCGTAGGTCATTGGCAAATAACAAAATATGCCTGGCTATATAGGGCTAGTTAAAGAAACTTTATTTATTGCAGTCCTTAGTGAGCCAAAGATCAGAACAGCTGAAATTATCTCGAGTCGCCTCATTAATAATGTCTGTACTATTTTGCTTGCTTATATATCACTGTGCAGGGGTGTCCAGCGGTGGGTTTACGTAACGTTCGTTCTAGGTCGCTCACTTGGCTGCAGGTGCAGACTACGCCTAGCGTCCATATGTTGGCACCAAGCTGTCGCCTGTTGCTCCCCGAATCTGGGCTCTGCCTAACCGCAACACTCTGATAACCGCCTCGACGCCTGTCTTGTTAGCTGTAGGTCATTTACGATCGCCTGATGAGTCTCCGACTGCCTCTCAAGGAAGGCAATTTGTCACCATCATCAGCGCCTACGTCTCCCTATGACCAACGCTAACGCCGCAAATGACAAATTATATGAGGACCTGCACTAACTCCTGGCGACTGCGTCAAAGCCTGAAAAATTGATTGGCCTTGGTAACTCCAACGCCCGCGCCGGAATGGATCATGCTGCCTGGAGACGAGTGCTGTGTCCCCATGGTCTAAAGGCTCCAACGACAACGGCCTGCTCCTTCCTGGAACCTGCAACAAACACCTTCTTCGGACTTGCGATACAAGGGAAGGCCACATGAATGCACCGTCGGTCACATCTGTGGAACCGGTTAGACTTTGTCCTCGACCGACGGCAAGACAAGCGGGACGTGCTGGTGACAAAGGCGTTGCCGACTGCCGACAGTTGACTGACCGTCGCCTCATCATATTGAAGCTGCGTATTCGCCTAGAGCCTCGTAGAAGACCTCAACGTAAGCGCCCACGGGTAAGTAGAATATTGCTTTGTTGTCATTACCTGCGCACCATATCGATTTCAGCGTCGAAAAAGCTCAATAGCTAGCAGCCTTCCAGTTGATGACGCCGCCGCCGCCGCCGTTGGCGACAACGCTTCCGTGGATAACCAATGGTGTCGAATGCGGGAAACAGTCCAGTCGACGGCGCTGACCGTTCTCGGTCGCGCGCTCCGCCAACACCAGCACTGGCGTGATGAAAAGAACACCGTCATCAGCAACGTACTCACCTAGAAGAACCGCCCGCACAAAGCCTACGTCGGCCGCCCCACCGACGACGACAAAACTGTTTCCTACCTCAGTCACCGCCGGCTGTGCGAGGTGCAGGACGCCTGGACGGCTGGCAAGGCTAAAGGGGATCAGAGGATACGTTGACCGAAAGAAATGGAAGAATTTCTTCTCAGCAATCAAGACAGTCTACGGGTCACCAATAAAAGCTACTGCACCTCTTCGCTGCGACGATGGCAGTTTCCTAGTCATTACGAAGACAAAAGTTGTCCAACCATGGGCCGAGCACTGCCGAGGCTTCCACAACCGTCACTTCACCCTCTCTGACGCAGACCACGCCCGTCTTCCGACAGTCAAGGGGAAGTCCCTAAGGACTTCAGGACGCCAAAACCCTCAACCTATATAGGCGTAAAGGAGACCGTCATCACTGCGACAACCACGGAGGCATTATCTTGCTGAACATCGCCTGGGAAAACCCTTGCTCGCATCATTCTCAACCGTCTAAACAATCAACGGAAACAAGACATTCTGGAGGAAAGCCAGTACGGCTTCCGCCGTCATCCGAGGACAACGGACATGATCTTCGCAGCCCGCCAAATGCAGGCGAAGTGTCAGGAGATGTGGACCCACCTGGATCCGACGATAGCCCACGACACTGAATCTTAACGGACTCTGAAAAACCATGCAGAACTTCAGCTGTCGCGAAAAATTCACTCAGATGGTGCGTCAACTCCACGATGGCATGATGACGCTCGTGACGGACAATGGATTTATCCCAGAGGCCTTCGCAGTGTCTACCGGAGCGAAGCAGATCTGCATCCGTTCACCCACCCTCTTAAGTCATATGTTCACAGGCACACTGATGTACGCCTTTCTTGAAGGACGCCTCGGGATCTGCCGACAGGACGAACGGCCACCTCCTTAATCACAGACGGGTGCACTTCCGGTCGCATGCATTAACAACTACCGTCCACGAACCTCTCTTTTCCGACGACTGTACCCTCAAAACCACCTCATATAGGGACATGCAAAAAAGCATGGACCTCTTCGCCGCTGCCTGTGAAAAATTCGGTCAAATGCCTCAACACAGACAAAACGGTTCGCATGCACCAACCGCCACCCAACACTGCATACAATGCCTGAACGGAGTCCAACTGCAAGTGGTGGAAAACTTCACGTATCTGAGCAGCACCCTCTCCCTTAGCGCTAACTTCGACCTTGAAGTTGGCCGACTGATTTCCAAATCCGTCTGCAGAATACCGTCTGTGGAGGTCACGGTCTCCATCTCAAAACGAAGCTGAAGATGTACAAAGCAAGTATTCGGCCGACGGTGACGTGTGGAGCGGAGACCTGGACGGTCTACAAGAAGAGGCGTGGATACTCAAACTGGCCAGTATTCTGCTGCGGAATAATTTACAAGTATTTTAAGTAGGAAGCAGATGTGCGTATGTGGAATTTAACTTCGAAAAGTTGTCGTCTTAGTATTTCTGCCAAAAAATAGTCTGAGCGATCGCTGTGACAGGAGCCTCAGTCGCCTGACGTTTCAGATTCTCGCTCGAAACCACCACCCGACACAGTGAGAGAAACAAGTGTGTCCCAAAAACTCAAATATTTTACTTTGAAGGTTGGCACGGGTATCGTGCATGCATATGTTTCCATGGAAAATCGCTGGATGGTTTATGTTAACGGAAATCTGTTTGATAAAAAGACTTAAACAGGTTCCGAAGTCATATGAACAGTAGATACAAATGGAAATATTATCAACGAAACTATTGAGAATTCAATCGAAAGGGCTGGGATCTATTTACGAAACCGAATTTTCAAATGGGTTAAAACTGAGGTAGATTAATATTATCGAGTAAATATATTACGCATTTTAGGTAAATATATCTCGCCTTACTAAAGTAGCTATAATGCGCATAAGGCATGATACTATTCCGAGAGTAAATAACCGACCCTAGATAGTAGCAATTGCTCGCGTACGTGAAAATCGAATTTTCATAGCAGTTGCCGCAGCGTTGTAAACCGACCGGAGACAACCGTCAGGTAATGGGACTGAAAGGCCATTTGATACGCAGGAAATTTCCGGGATCGTAAGCAGCATGCAGTAGAGTTGCATTTAAGGCGGTTGCATTGTAGAAAATGGCGTTCGTTGTCTGACACAAATATCAAAACATTCAGCGATCAGACTGAGGGAGGTCGCTGGTGCTCTGGTCACGCTTAATGCCACCGGATTCGGCATGATGAGGCTAGCAAGAAATGTCCATGATTTATGTTTAAATCAAAAAAATAACGAGTGCAACAAAATTTCAAAGACTTAACTGTTTTTCACATCGGTCATATGAACGATGACAAACTGGGTGGCCAGCGTCCGAAAAATTCCGAAAAAACCTCTTGTCACGTTTCCAACAAAGTCCGCTATTTTCTGGTTAAACGTATTGTGATGCCTATAGCTAACTTCATTATTATAGTTAAGAATAGGACTTTGTAATATTTGCGGGCTTAAATTGCCTACGCCGGTAGGGCAATTAAATTAGCCTTGTTAGAAATTATCAAAATAATATCAAAGACGATTTACGATAATGTTTGTTGCACCGAAATAAACCTCAGATTTATTTTGAAGTTGCCCCAAAATAGCCGGTTGGTTAAACGCCAGCTCAACATTTAGCCGCTCCGCCGCCCGCAAAATAAACAGCAAGATTTTCAGAACTTTTGTGCAGGACAAATCCAGCAACTTTTCAATAACAGTATTTAGGAAACACTTTCAATGATAAAACATTTCGTCTTTTGCTGAGAGCGCGAAGGTTTTACACCCGATGTTAACCGAATATGCCACTGCAGTGTAAGAACAGGATTGCTGACTTGCGACGAAATCGTTTTTTCCTGATATTACACATGCGCAACATCTACCATACAGATTCATCCTCCGCCACGATAAAGTAAAGAAGACTGGAGACAGGTGAGAACGAACTTAGCTGGCATGTAGGTGTACCGTCGCATTTCTTGGTCCAAAACAGACATTAATTATCATTTAAACCACTAGAAGAATGGATGTGTACATTGAACCTCAAAACGTGCCGCCTGCTTCCGCAATACACTCCTATGTTGGCATTTTCAGCAGCTGAGTTTCCCTGATATTACCTACTGGACAAGCAGTTTGTGCGTTTATGTTGCCATAATAATGGCCAAAACATCAATACGCCGAGCACTGACAGAAATTAAATGTCCTGCTGGCATTAGTTAACGTCTTTTTAATAAAATGCATTAGCATTTGGGGAGCAAGGGTATTAGATACGAGTTGATTATCTAAGAAATATGATAAGCCAAGCCCTGTGAGACGTCAGCCACGCAATATTACTGATCCGGTTAGCCCTTTCTGTTCCTCAGAGGATAGAAATCACCTTCGGTTAAAAAATTTAACTTTGGTAGAAAGGGCTAAGGCACCTCAAGCTATTGTGTTCATTCATGGCAGTGTCGCAATGTGCCTGACTAGAATCGTCAGTTGTACAAAAAAACATTTAGGAATATTCAAAAGTAATAAAAGTCACAATTTGCGACGCCAAAGAGAAACGTATATGTTAGAACCTGCCTTTCAAGGAGTTTCTACTCATGGGCAACCTTTGATCTTGAAAAATATGTTGCAAAATAAAGCCAATAGGCCGGAATACGACCACGCCAAACAAAGTGTTATCAATGACTTCAGAAGATTTAAGATATTGACCTCTGTGATTGCATTTTTCAATAAATCTGTGTGAAACAGCGCTGTGGATAGAAAGCAAAGAATTCGCTGACAAGGTCTGCATAGGACGGCTATTTTCACAATAGCACAAAAATATTGCGGCGTACAATCGGTCACGTTTATTAATATTGTGCTCTTGGAAGCGTAATATAGATAATGAGCCACATCACGATCATCATGAAATAAAATAATTCATCGCTGCTTGACATTTATCTTTTTATCAAATCATCGATTTGCTCATCGTTCGGTGTGTTCCATTGACGCTGGCGGAATTGGTGTAAGGACTTTATCAGCCAACGTTTAATGTCTTATTATACAAATAAAGAGTAATAAACGTAATCAAATCTTCTAGTGTATATATAAAACAACAAAAAATTTGATTGCCTATGTGCAGATGATGTAGAAAAGAGCAAAGGAACTCGGTGGAAATAATGGAGACTTTAACATCCGACATGCAACGACCCCATTTGTCCAGATGTACACCATTCTACGTTCCAGTAGTTTCTGTAGCTCATCAATAAGTGCCTTTTTACGAAAAAACCTCATATGACGTGAGATTAAAATGAGGAAGTGAGAACGGGGAATTTTCTCAATAGTCGATAATCAAGGTTCCGCTGCTAACTATTGTGTTGCCTGTTATTCATTAACAAATTTATGTTTTACCCAACATTATCCATGCGTAAGAGGTTTCATTAACAAAAATGTTATTCTCCGGCTCTTTTTATTAAAACATTTTCTGTTTTATCTCTCTGTCAGTCCGTAGCAGTCAGTAACTTCAAAGAAAATGACAGAAAACTTTGCAAATCCTCATAAACATATGCTCGTATACTTATAAAGTAGTTAATTAAAAACACATTTTAAATTTAGTTTTAGATGCGGAATGCATAAATCTTATGATAAGACATCAAGGTTACAAATGATCGGCATTTACGAGATAAGAGCAAAGAACATATTTATCGCTTTCTTCTGTGAAATTGTTATTTGTTTGAAAGGCTGCTGAAATCATTTTAGCACTTTTTCAGTAGTCATTTCCGTAGTGGAATACATGGGTGTCTGGAGAATAAAGTGGCCATTTACCTGGTTACTCTCCAGATGTCTTTTCAACACACTTGAGGTAGGAAAATGATCAATATAAGTTAGTACAAAGCTTCCTTGACAAATGTCTCGCTGCGGGAGAAAGTAGGAAGGTTGCTTGGTATTGCACAGTTTTATTTAAGTAAGTAAACGTGAGTCTGATATAAGACTTTGATGCTATTGTAGTAGCCCTTCTCTGGGCGCTGCTTTCAACGCTGGGGTTTTGGCGAATGTCTGCACTTGCGCGTCAAGGCTGCCTGACGCTCGTCCACACGGCTCTCCAACAGGTTAATCAGACTGAAGGCCGAATTAGACGTGTCATGGCTTATTACGACCCGACTTGGTACGCCGTTTATATGGTGTCGGACGTGCTGTTAACTCCGTCTGACTTCTTCTCCAGTTGATCTGTACAGAATATGTTATCCTTCCCACTGTCATCCGCCTCCTCTTTTGATTCGAAACATGGCCTGAAGGTCACGGTAGGCAGGGTCTCAATCTCGGCCTAGTATTCTGCTGCGATATTATTTTAAAAAGAGTTTCCAAGGTAACATCCCGATCAGTTCCCTTTAACAACTAAAAAGATGCAGAAGGTCACCTCTGTCCTGTCCGATGTCGAAGGGATAGACATTCAGTGCGCTCCGGCGCAGTTAGTATGTAAAGTATTTCACTTTATGAAAGGGGCCTTGTGGCAGGTTGCCGTACACTTTTAAGTATATCTATATATTTTCGAACCCACGTTCGTCAAGCCTGCACCGCACATTCCCGGTGAGGCCACACAAACACTCGATATACCTAACCGAGGGCATTTGCAGGTTTGCGAGGCAACATCCATGATGAAGCGTACAAAAATTACAGCGTAATGTATCGGGCGGTGTAGTTGATTTTCCAAATATCATTTTCCCTAGCTTACGGCAAGTGCATCTCAGACTGACCGGGCGGTAGTTATTTAGATAAAGTTCTGGTCCTCTCTGGTGGATAAGAAAGATAATGCCCAAATTCCATCTATCGGGAGCTTAGGAGGTTTGAGGGATTTTCGGAAGATTACACAGAGGGTTTGTCATAGTACTTTAGCTATTTGACAGAGGAGTACTCCTGAAATCGCACCTGGTCCATGAGACTTAGTGAGATCCCATCAGTAAAGTCTTCGCGTGCGAGTACAGGACCACATACTTTTAAACTCTGTTTAGTTCATATTTCAATGTTAATTATGCTACCTGTCCTGCAAATAATCGGTTTTGGCCTTAATTACCGCGTTCACTCGCTGCGGCCGTTTTACTAGTTTCAATAAATAACACGTAATTTGCAAGAATGCTTGCATGATGAGCAGCTGCATAAAATTTCTCGCAGTAGATTTCCTTCAAATGTACATATTGCTTCGAAAAAACCCCCGAAAAAACCACTTATGTCATAAGGGGATAATTCATATTCTAATTAGCAACTCTTAGTAAATTATGACGGACGTTTGATTATCCACGGTGTAATCAAAAAGTATTTTAGTGAGGACGGGATGCTGGCATTTGAATGGAATCATAAAGGATGTCTTTGTCTCTTGGAACCGTTTTTTTGACTAGGAATAGGCGGAGCATCAAGCATACTCATCGCTTATCTATTTTACTATTGTGTCTCGGCAACATGCTCTTATGTTCCCCTTCTTGAATGATACATTTATAATTCAGTCAAAAATCCGTCACTTATAATCCAGCGCACGATATTGTCCATCGCTATCGCCTACCTATTTATCTTCTAATTTTCAGAACATGGCGTTCTCTGTCTGCTTATCTGGCTATTGTCAAGCCTAGTCTCAAACACTGCCTTAGGTAGGCATCAGTCCCTTTTCTGAAAACCGCCTCTGATCACGCCCACACGCATGCTGATCGTTTACTAGTAGTATTCGAAGTAGTAAAGACAGGGACAAGAAATCAACAACACATATTATCGTCCTCCTGTTCCCTATATGCAGGGGTTTGCCACAATCTTATTCGTGATGTTTGTTTTTCAAAGCACACCTAGTGAGGAACTCCTATTTCACCGTTTCCGTAATGAAGTACATACAGTGGATGGGCTAACTCATGAAATGTCAACCGAAATTCCGAAATGCGTTTTCATTTCGAAAAGGGTGATTAAGCAGGATTGTAAAACCGAGTATCGTGCAACGCAAGCCTATAAAAATCTAGTTACTACACTATACGGGCTTTCGGTCGAACTACTTTCAGACAGCATGCATGAACTATACTCCTTAAAAATGACTACTTAAGTATCATGCATTTATTGGTTAAATTTCGACTTTGTTAGAAATATTATTTCATTTTATGGAAAACACGCAGAAAATATTCTTTAACCGGCGCACTCATTAAAAAATGACGTATTCTTCCAATGTTATACTCGAAGGAAGTGCATAATTGGGTTTTTGAAAACCTTTCCGATTTCCGATTAATTTTTAACCCGACCTGCCGTCCCACTTCCATCAAGGATTTCTTAACTACAAGCCGTGCATTTTCCGCTTGCGGAAAACCATACATTTTTTTTCGGCATTAGGAATAGGCCATAAGGGACTAAACATTTCAGTATCAGTATCAGTATATTTCAGGGAAAGTAGGTGTGTACCTTTGAAATCCCTATTGGTTACATGCAGAGGATATATATGGAGGAAATGGAAAGGAAGTAACATGAAAGAAATGCGAGGGGAATAGCAAAAACTGTGCAGATGAACACAGAATGTCATGCGTTAACAGAGTTTAGAGACACATTAACTTGCTTTGTTGATCAAAATACAGCGGACAGTTGAGGCACACTTAAGATACGGGAAAAGAAGTAAAATTGTTTAGTCAACAGGCATCGTGGTGAATGCGGACAGCGGTGAGCGACGTGGTCCAAGCTTAATAAATTATATAAACATATATTACTTAAATGTTGGTAGTAGCATCGTTATAGCACTAAATATGCCAGCGTTGGCTGATAAGGTGGCCGTAGTCCGGCGTTATTGGGGTGCGCGCTATAATGCTGATCTAGTCTCCGTTTAAAAGTATCTACCGAGCCTGACTTAACAACATCCTCAGGCAAGGCATTCAAAGCTGCAACCACTCTGTTGGAGAAGAAGAACTTTCGGATGTCAACCCGGGCACCAGCCACACGCAGTTTGAGTGGATGGCCTCTCAGGTTAGTCGTAGTCGCCAACTCGAAGAAGTCTCCAAACGCGAGGCAGCAGCCCTGATTGCGCACGATGCGGAAAGCTTGTATCAGGTCCCCACGTAGCTGTCTGTAACTCAAAGGAAAGAGGTCAATATTAGCTAATCGCGTTTCGTAGGGTAGTGACAACTGACCAGATACAAGTTTCGTTGCTCGCCGTTGAACGTTTTCGAGTATGCCCAAGTCTTTAGCGGTCCAGGGTCGCCGTGATTGGATAGCAAACTCCAGATGCGGTAGCACAAAAGTTTGAAAGACCTCGGCGAAGCAGTCTTCATCAAAGTAGGAGAACGCCCGTTTGACAAGGTAAAGCATGGACATCGCCGACTTGGCCGCCATTGAACATTGCTGCGAAGGCTTAAGCGAGGTTGTGATCCATACACCCAAGTCATTCTGGGCGTCGACTTCTTGCAGTGATTTGCCAGTCAGACGGTAGACCGTGTGGTTAGGAGAACTGTTTCTGCCGACGCGTAGGAAAGTACACTTGTTTACGTTGAACAGTAGAAGCCAGTCTTTCGACCATTGCTCGAGGTGGTCCAGATTTGTCTGCAGTCGCGCCTCGTCAACTTCGCTTCGTATGGTACTCCAGTGGACTGGCAGTGGACTTGGGCCAAATCGTTAACTTTACATGCCACATTGGTAAATGCATAGACATGACGTTCTATGAACGGCCATTTCGCAATATTATAAAAGCTCACAATCTGAGACTGTTCGAATATAAAAATTGGGGGAAGATGTCATTTTACCAAATGAGCAAGAAAAGGAATATTTTTCTTCACGGTTTCCAAGAACAATAATTGAATTTTTAAGGGTGTTGACAAAAATCAATGTAAAATGCATTCTACTTACATAGTTCTCTTTTTACAGAATATAGCTTTTGTACCCAGGCAAAAGACGTTTGCTCGAAAGCCCGCATCCTGAGGTAACATCATTTTTAGGGAATTATGCGGCAAGATTATTAGTTTTGCAACCCTATTTAATTAATCGTTTCGAAACGTAAACGCTTTTCGGAATTTCGGTTGGCATTTCATGACGGGCCGATAGACGCAAATCAACAATTCCTTAAACTATTTGAGTTTTGCCTCTGTAATGCTCTATATGATGGAGTTCCTTAAATAGGCCTTGATAACATAGAGCATTTCGCCCACTTTATGTAGGCCTTATTACTCCATGACTGGCGCTATGATGAATTTAAACGGGATATTTCAATAATATAGGGAGCCAAATTGCTTCGCACCTAGCGTAATTTCCTCAAACCTAGACGATACCTGCGGTGAACGACGGATTTCATGGGCATTACATTGCGGTCAGTCTAAATGCTATTGACATGAGAAGTACAAACTATATGATCTATGGACGTTTAGTACAAAAGTCCAGATCGGTTGGGTATCTAAAAGGGCTTGCGCGCCCATTTTGTTTCGTAGCTGCAGTTCCGATGTCTAAATGAAGAAAATACGGAAGTTGTTTGGGAACACAAAACAGTGCTTACATAAAAAACATCGCGGCGGACGACATAGCGCACTGCAAAATTAAAAAAAACACTAACTATCAGCATGGCATTTAAATAGAATGAATTGTGATGTGTATTCTTTCGTCACAAATGGTATAACTCATGTCTGGTTTTTGGCATTCAGTTCTGAAACATCATACAGTAATGGTCAGGTCTCTATATTTTGTCTGATGTTTCTAAATTGATTGAATATAATTTGGAATTCTGCAACCTATTCTAACTTAAGCTACAAACAATCAATATCCTAACACTGATCTCGTCTTCCACAAATAGTCATTTTTGAGCCAACGGGTAAAACCACCGAAGTATATAAAGAGGATTTCTGTAGGTAGGCTTTTGTTGCAGGTCCACATTATATTGCGCTTATCTGGCAAGTAGTATTAAAATCAAATTCGAGTATTTGAATATACGTTAACACAGCAGACGCATGCATAAAAATAATGCAGCATACTGCCACCGGTTGAATCCCATTAAGTGGGGCGTTTGCTATAGGTTGCCGGCATCTGCGTCGGTATCAAGAGAAGACGAATGACGCCGTCCAAATTCGTACCGCTCACATTCCTTAATTTAGGAGGCAAAACAATGACAGCTGGCAATCTAATATGTTTACGGTATGTGAAAAGATCAGTAAACTCTCTGAAAAAAATCTGAATAACGTCACAATTAAGGTCCTAAAACTGAAAGTATGTTCGGCTAATATATTAACTATACCATCCTGCTTTTATCGTATCTGCGATTTGGAACAAAATATCTTGTCTCAAAGGCATGTTAATTGTTTCTGTAGGGCGCATAACATGTTCATGTTAAAACGTAAACCGACCTTGTTTGCTAATCATTAAAAAGTCGATTTTCAAAGAACGTTCTGCTCATTGGCTTCACACTCTAGTCGTTGCGTTGAGAATGCGTATTTTTATTTTTTCTGTTAATACCCTTTGTCTTTTGGGTGTTTAAGTACTATTTGAGATAAGAGGTTTAATTGTAAAAAAACTGTCCGACGATATTCTATATAAACTTGCCCATGGTCGGCTCCTTTGTTTGCGTTAAAGACAATCACGCACTGTTATGTGAAATAGCGCTATTTGGTTCTGCTTAGATAATCAGAAGACAAGATTTCGAAGTGAGATTTGAGTTTGGCTTCCGCATTCATCAATGTCCTCTTTACCAAAATCTCCTGCGGTAAATCCCGTAAACAAACCTCAGTCATTCTGCAGCCTCGTCAAAAAACTACCAAGAATACAAAGTCCGCAAAAGCTTGTCTTTAAAAGTAGCAAATTTATAGCAACAACGAGACATGTACCTTTTGCCATTTGCGAGAAATTTATTTAAAATATAAAACCTCACATAGGTTCTGTTTTACATGATATGGACAGTGCGTTTTGGAAAACCATTCAGACAGATGACAGAATAACAATTCCATTTGTCTTGGGCGGTGAATTGCTCTCAGTTTCCATGCTGCTGTGCAGCCTCCTGGGGTGAAATGTTTCTGAAGATTTAATTGTGTCGTAGTCCGCAATAAGTTTGACCGTAAGAGGTTTTGTTGCTACTTGAACGCTTATTTAATGAAGGCCACCTCCGGCACCTGGACGAATTTATATTCTTTTGGCTTCCACATTTACGCATGTGTCCACTTTTCAGGCTTATGACTTATGTGTTGCGCTAGTTTAAATTTTTCTCGAGAACATAAACATAAAATTTGAAAATCAACTTTGCTTACCTTGAGTAGTCATTTCCTACAGTGTGTAGTTTCTGAATGCAGCCGGAAAGAAGTTAATTCGAAAACCAGCATCCTGACGTAAATGATATATTATAGAATTATGTTGCAGGTGGGTTAGTTTAACAACCATACTTTATTAATCTTTTCGAAACCAAAACGCCTTTCGGAATTTCCGTTGACATTTCATGAGTTAGCCCACCTACTGTATGTATAAAGTCCCGAGGATATTTCACGTACAAAATGCAAAATTACGTCTCGGCCGGGGTCAATTAATCAAAAAGAGTTACTAATTGCTATTATTAGCTGCGTGGCTTCAGGGACCCGAAAACTAAGCTCAGTATTATAACATATCCAAAAATATACGATATAATTAATATAATATACCTGAATTATATAGTATTTACCTTTAAAAATAAACATTAAAATGATGAGTTTCCATAATAAAAACCAACTACAGTATCGGTAGGTGAGTTCGTTTTTTGCCGCATAACGTATCGGCTAATGTCAACACAGCTGATTATTTTTAGAAGTGGGAGGTGTTGAAAATGTTTTTTCGAAAGAAAATCATTAATTTTTTTATATTTATCTCGCTGAGGTATATGACAATGTACATTTAACCAACGCAGAGTCATTAAGAGCTATAGTAAACGATTTTGTCCTTGTATTGATAAGATCAGCGGCATCCGCATTCTCATTAGGCGCGCTTTACGAAAAGGTTAGTTTATCTTTAACCTTTCCGCCGAAGGTAAAACACGGTCGGATAATCGCCAGATGTGCTCGTCTATGCGTTTTATGCTGTATTTCTTGAATGAAAGACGGATTTTTTATCGGCGTACACATTCACTTACATTCCTTGGAATGGTTTCATGGCAAATTCACCATACAAATCAGTAGATTGTGCTCGAGCAGTTTTCAAGTAAACAGGTTCCTCTTTAAAACTGTTTGCCCATGCCTCTCTTTCATCGCCTGCTGACGTTACAAACGCTTTTTCGTGGAAAAATACTGACTAAACAACATCGCCGTCCAAACATATTTTCCACAAAAAGCTCTTGCGAAATAGGTTGTATTTGCGACCATGTAGCATTAAATTTTATCGTGAAAACGATTATAATGCTGTCCTCAGCAGTCATAATACACATCTGAGCAACATTTGTAACCTAACATTAGCCATATTGTATAGCGCATAATAACGTTGGATTTCTAAAAGGTAACCATGCCCTAGTTTACGCAGATTAAGAAATCTTCACCGTATCATGTTACACCATGTGCTGGTAGAATCTAAATTGCAAAACAGCGTAGTTCTACTCACATGCCTATGAATATCTTTTGACATGAAAAATGAATCCTGACATCAACAAAATGTCTTTTTTCTGAAATTGTTGACAGTGTGGCCTTCGTTCAACGCAAGCACTCGAGGAATAGATGCATGCGGATAGACGTTTCAGTGCTACCTTTGCCCGCGACGTTTTAGGGACTCGAAAACTAAGCTCTTTATTTATCCTAAACTTCAGAAACTTCCCTACACATCCCTAAAATAGCCATCTTATTAATTAAAATCAAATGCTGACCCGCTACTATACTTTCGTGTCGAACACCGCACTTTGTCAGCACTGATTTAATTTGAATATTAAATACCAACAAAGAAGACAATCTATCCCACCAAGGCGCCGATATTTTGCAGTTAGGTTAAAGAGAATTATTCGAAATTTGCTAATACGTACAGTGCGTGACCTATCTCATGAAATGTTGGCTGAAATTCTGAAATGCCTTTTCGATTAGGAAGGATTACTTGGTCGCGTTTGTGATACTGATTATCTTAAGGCATACTCTTATAACATTTTGGACTTGGCAGGATGTCGGCTTTTAAACGAACTTCTTTTTCAATCTTCTGTAGAAAGCGTGCTAGGTAAAAAAGGACTACTTAAGTAGCATGCATTTTTCCCATTGATTTTCGATGGTCTTGGAAATTCAAATATATTTTATAGAAACCACAAAAAATATGCTATCTTTTAGTCAATCAATAGAGAATCACGTTTTCTTTATATTTTATACTTAAGGAAGGAGTATAATTAGGTTTTAAAAAAGTTTTCTAATTGCCGAAACATCTGGAGCCTGATCATTCGCTGCATTGGCGCTTAGTGATTACACTTTACAAGGTGCATGCGTTCCGTGTAAAGAAAATCCATATTTTTCTATGTCATTAAAGAGATATCATACAGGGTCCATAAAATTTTGCAATGGATGCGGACCATGTTGTACATTTCATTAGGAGAGTGGTAAACGGCCATGTACGATGCTATGTGAATGGACATATCGCGGTCTTAAAAAGTCTCATAATTAGAAGCTTTTTTAAAACCTAATTATACTCCTCCCTTAAGTATAAAATATAAAGAAGACGTGATTTTCTATTGATTGACTAAAAGAAAGCCTATTTTTGTTTGCGGTTTCTATAAAATATATTTGAATTTGCAAGACCATCGAAAATCAATGGGGAAAATGCATGCTACTTTAGTAGTCCTTTTTTACCTAGCACGCTTTCTTCAGGAGATTGAAAAGAAGTGCGTTTGAAAGCCGACATCCTGTCAAGTCCAAAATGTTATAAGAGTATGCCTTAAGATAATCAGAATCACAACCGCGACCAAGTAATTCTTCCTAATCGAAAACGCATTTCAGAATTTCAGCCAACATTTCATGAGATAGGTCACTCACTGTATATGCATTACGTGAGCCTGGTTGTCATCTGGTGGATTCTAGGTGAATTACTTAGGAAATCTGCTTGGGCATTCAAATAACTTTATCAGAGTTTTTGGATTACAGACGTTGCAGTAGGTTGGGCGGGTACTCTTGACCAAAGTGTGATTTAACTGGCGTCGTCCGGCGGGGCCTCGTAGCTCAGGTGGTTACAGCGTTGGCTGTTCTGAAGCCTTCACCTTACTGCTGTGTGTTCGAAACCCATCGAGTCGCCGAGGTTTTCATTTTTTGATAAATATGAATCATTCAAAATCTTTCAAAACACATATGAACTATCTTTAAAGCCAAAATGATATTTTATTTGCATATAAGACATATGAAGCGCATAAGGCATAGTTATCTGGGTAGATCCGGCAGGCATATGACTATTCAGTATCCCTACTAATGCATCGAACTTGAATCATGTTACCACCCGTGTACTGATGTTCGCTGTCTCTTATTAAGTTCACATGTAACCTCCCCGCCCTCGGATGGACACCTTCCTGATATCCCCCGTGGTGTAGCGTGTTCACCGGTGGGTTCAAGTGACGGTCGTAGTAGGCCGCATACTAGCTTACAGATTCTGACTACGGCTAGCGTAAATTCGCTGGTACCCAACTGTTGTATGTGCCCTCCCCCCCGAAGCTAGGATCTGTCTAACAGTCATACCCCGCTAACCTCCCCGACCGGCGGGCTAAACCACCTGGGTGCACGGTTATGTGGACTTCGCTGACCGGATATATCTTCACATCGGCATTGTCGAGACGAGGCTCTGTCAGGTGCACAGCAGGAGGCCACAAAGTTACAGCGATGTCGTAGGCTCTTCCTGGCTTACTCGGGTCGTTCATCCACTACGTGGCCCATAATAACGTTCATCAGCGCCTAACAAAATTAGGTAGCCGCATTCAGGACGGCACTGTCCCCCCCGCCCCCCCCCCTTCGAGAAAGGGAAGGGGCTAGACAAGGTGCCCTAAACAATTGCCGAGGAAGCACGCCATCTGCAGGCTGACCGTGGTGGCAGACTTTAAATTCACGGTCAAAAGAGCCAATGAGGAAACAACAATAACACACACTCTCTCTATTCCTCTCCCACCTGATCCCCCCTTACTTCTCCTGCTTCACCTCCTCCTACTTCTCCTTCTCCCTGCCACACTCGCCAGACTGGTAGGGCGTGTCCGCTCGCTCTGGCAGCCTGGAATGTTTGTTCCGTTTTAAAAAACACGAGGGGAAACCGGGCGGAAGATGAAACGGTACTAGTCGATCGAAAACTGGCGCGTTACTAGGTGGACACCGCAACACTGCGAGACGCCCTTCTCCCAAAAAGGCCAACTGGAGGAGGTGGATGCCGGCTACACCTTCTCCTGAAGCGGTCACCCCAAGGCAAAGTGACGGACGCTAATGTTGGTTTTGCCATCCGAAACGACATCGCCAGGCGACTTCCCTCTCTGCAGCAGGGCATCAAAAATCGTCTGATGATCCTTAACCTGCATATCCGCGGAGTCAAATTCGCCTCCATCATCAGTGTCTACGCTGTGCCGTTGACCATCACGGACGTCGCAAAGGACAAATTTATGAGAAACTGCACACACTCATGGAGACTGCGTCGAAGGAGGATAAGTTGATTGTTCTTGGTGACTTCAACACCCGCGTCAGCACAGACCATGCTGCGTGGACAGCAGTGTTTGGTCACCAGGGTCCAAACGGCTCCAGTGACAATGACCTGCTCCTTCTACGAACCTGCGCAGAATATCGACTCATCCTAAAGAACACCTTCTTCCACCTTCCGATGCAGGAGAAGGCCACCTGGATGCATCCCCTGTCGCGTCAGTGGCACCTGCAGGACTATATACTCGTCCGGAGGCGAGACCGGCAGGACCTGCTGGTGACATAGGCGATTCCGGGTGCTTACGGGGGACCCACCATCGCCTCGTCT